AGTTTAGAAAGCAAGGGGGTCTTCTCTGATTCTCATGAGTCAATGGGAAGGTCTCCTTGCCCTTTTGTATTAGACATAAACCGTTGTCCAAGTCTGAGACTAAGATTGGACTTAGCCGCACCTAAGCTCCACCAGGAGTTTAAAAGGCAGGGGGTCTTCTCTGAACCTCGTGGCTCAACGGGAGGGTCTCCCTTACCCTTTTTTCATCCTCAGTCTCTATGTAAATCGTTCTAGATCAATTTGATTTTTCCTTTGTATGCTTCATCCATGTAAGTGATAGAGTGAACGTTGCCATCGAACTCTGTTAAGTTGCACTTTTATAAATTTCTGTTAAAATCACTTTTTGCCAATACCTTTGACGGTGATTCTTTAAGCAGCCTCTAAACCACTCTTTCACGACAGTATGAAAGAGGATGAGAAAAGATGCTGGGCTTATTTGCTTCTCTGAGTGTTGTTAATACTTGGTGAGGCAAGAAGAAATTCTTGCAAGATTGTATAGGTGAGAAGGAGCACTGTGCATAAAATGGAAGAATTGGTCCCTCCTGTGGTGTGAAGTGGAAGTGGACGGATCACATCTCTGTGGGTGCGTGCTTTCACGACAGTATGAAAGAGGATGAGAAAAGATGCTGGGCTTATTTGCTTCTCTGAGTGTTGTTAATACTTGGTGAGGCAAGAAGAAATTCTTGCAAGATTGTATAGGTGAGAAGGAGCACTGTGCATAAAATGGAAGAATTGGTCCCTCCTGTGGTGTGAAGTGGAAGTGGACGGATCACATCTCTGTGGGTGCGTGCCGAGCAGTGCCAGCACCTCGGCTCGGCCCAGCGTCTCCTGGGCTTGGCCCCTGCGTGGAGGTGTCGAGAGCTTGGGGCACTGCCGCGGGGCCCCAGATTTTATTCCACAGGAAATTTTGCGGACGGTCTCAAGGATTGCCTCCTGCGCCTGCCGGCAGCTGGGAAGGGCTCGTTTTGTGGGTGGTGTTCCTCCTGTCTCGTCTGTTTCTGGGAATTGGGGTGGGACTCTCCGCAGCTCTAGACTAGCACAGGTCACGAGAGAGAAGCAATTACTAACTTCTGCTGAAGAATTAATACATAATTAGGAATTAATGCATAATTAATTTGGAAACTTCCTCAAGGTACTTCTCAGCTAGTGACATACCAAAAAAAGTTGTTTTAATGAAAGCTTCTAATGAAAAGCTCCTAGGGGCAAAGCAGTTTGTGCTTTCCAGAGCTAGGCTAGTGAGGAAAGTTAGGTGAATTTTCCTTCCCCGCCCAAAAAAACCCCCCCCCGCCTCCTTTGGAAAGTGAAACTTGTGTTTTACTAAAACATATTTCACAAATTCATGACAGTTTCATTGAAATGATTAAGGAAGAATTTCTGACTAAATTAAAGATGTTTTTTGAAAAGAAATACTAAGTTTTTGTTTGTTTGTTCCTTTAATTTGAACAGATATTTCCCATCAGCTTTTCTAAATTAAAATTAAAATGCAATTTGACAGTAAATATTTTGTCTTAGGTCAAGCAAAACACTCATTCAGCACAAAACATCTTTCTTGTCTAATTTTTTGTGTGTTTTGGAAGTGACAGCAAGTCATTGAGTGACATGTGCAGGGCCACTGCCTTGAGGAGCCTGGAGGACCTGGGCATGGAGCCTCCTGCCCAGCAGGCTCAGGAGGGTTTTCCCTTTCCTTGCAGAAAGACCATGTGTCTTCTACTGCCGTGATTGACCCAGAGATGGAAAGTGGTGCGAGTTTGGCATTTGCAAAAGCCATCTCGGAGTGCAGTACAGCACAAGCATTTCTTTGCCTGTATTCCAGCCATCTTGGCTAGAAGAAGCTTTATGCACTTGGCCTGGAAGTTGTTTTCTTTTTGACTGGAGAAGGATAATAAGAAAGATAATGGGTGCTAAACACTATATTTAATGTCCAAACAGGGAGATGACTGAGGGAGGAGCCTGGTAAGCCTGCCCTGGATCCTGGAGGATCTAGGAGAGCGTCCAACACTGCTGGAGCTGAGCACCCAGGGCAGCCTGATGGACTCTCCCCACTTCACGTGGTTATGTTTCCTGCTTCTGACCATTGCAGCTCCCTGTCCAGGTGAGTCTCCTTGTTTGATCTCGACGCTTTTCACTGCATGTTAGTGGCTGAAAACTTTTAAACTGTTGTTAGAAAGCTCAGTTGTGTCCTGTTAAAACTAAGACCACAAAACCACTAAGGGCAGAAAAGAAATTAAGAAGGTGAAGGTTGATTCATTTGACCTGTCACAATCACCTAACTTGGGAGGGTGACTTTTTGGGTCTGTCTGAAGTCAGATGAGGTGAGTTCTCTCTCAAAGGACTGGCTCTTTACCAGGAGTGTCTGAACGAGTAAAACCCCTTCGTCAGCTCTCAGCACCCAGCGCCAGCATACTTCAGCACTTCAGCCAGGCTGCTCGTACATTTTGGCTTGGCTGTAGAACTGTTGCCTACAGGAATACTGAACGGAATCAGTGGCAGTGACCTGGGACACTGCATCCTGAATCTGGCAACTCAGCTGTGAACTTCATTTGTCCTGGGATCTGGATGTCTGCCCAAGGTACACCTGATAGGATTGTGCCAAGGAATTTTGAAAGGACAGAAAATAAGAATGGATGATTCATCTGAGCCTGTCTGGGCAGAGGATCTCTTAGCTCAACAAGAGAAATGTCTTTCAACTCGCTTCCCAAGCTGCCAGCTTCCTAGTTCAAACCCCAGTGGCAGCAGTGGTGGAATTATATTGTATTTCTATCCCAAAATTATTTTAGGGACTGGGCCCAGTACCATGTAAAAATTGCCTATTGGCAGACAATGTCTCCTAAGCCATGACTGGGTTTGTCCACCAAAACTCATCCCATTCTCTAACACTAAAAGACTGGGGAGAAAACTGGTGGAAAATAATTTTTCGTTGTTTTCTCATTTAGGTATTGCCATGCCCAGCGACAACCCTGCTGAGGGGACACAAGACTCTTCCTTTGGCAAAACACATGTGACAGTCTACCACTGTAAAGACTGTGAGAGCAACATATGCAAATCACCCAATTACGAAGACTTTGTAAAAATTGGTGAAACACAAAATGAGACATTTTTGAGTAAAACAATTCAGTTGGTGACCAATGAAACACACATCGTTATGTGCTTTCAGCAAGAAAATACTTTTCCTGAAGGAATTTATGCCATCATCTGGGAGAAAGCAACAGGAATAGGAGAATCATGTGGCAGCCCGAATTCTGGAGGTATGCTCTACTGGGAGCCTGGCTATCAACGTATAGAAAACATATTTCTGGTTATGAAACTGAACTTTTATATATTTGGGCAGACAGTGAGGTTAATGAGTAAAGTAACTTGTCAAAATGAGTTTCTTTTGTGAAAAAAGTCATTAAGACACTCACAAAAATATATTAATTATCTCTGGTCAAACACTGCTTAAAACTACACTAGTAGGTACACAGATAAATTCATGTTACCCTGATTTATAAAGACATTTTTTTTTTTGGCAACAGCAATTCTCATGGTCAAAATCTGTGCCAGTTTGCAATGTATGAATCCCATCTACTTCAGTCAGTACACACTGAAATTCAGGTCTAGCCTAAAGAGCCCTTCTGTGCTGCTCTTCTGTACAATTTAGTAAATAACCAGGAGGCATCCTTCCAGCTTTCTCATAAAACTGTCAAATTCAGAGATAAAAATGCCTGTCAGTACGTGTAGCAAGTGGGTCCAAGAGGGCAAAACTTCATGGTGGATCAGGTTGCACAGGTGTAATTTAGTTGAACTCCATCCAAGTCAATGACATTTCACTAGTTAACATCCGATTGAATATATATTTGGCTTTGCCCTCCTGGCTGTAGATGATTCTCTGAAAGTAGCTTTCATCACCTCCCTTGTTAGACTTAGAGCATCCTTTCTAATCTTATTGCTGACAGAAGAAAACAAGAAAAAATTCCTAACCTACATATGCTTTTGTTCAGTCTAACAATTCCTCGTGTATTTAATTTCTGACCACTGTAACCCCTTTCTCTCCTGGATTTATGCTTGCCACTGCAAAGTATCTACATGCTGTTACCACTGCGTAAAGCTTGGATGACACTAAAACATCTGTGGTGAAAACTGGAAATTGCTGTAGACATAGTTGCCTATATCCCTTGAGAGGGTAACAGGTGGATGTGCTGAGGGTGGGATGTGTAGGTAGGAAAGAGTTTTCAAGATAATGGTTTTTACATTTCCCACCTCTTAGAAGAGGAATAAGTTTTATATAATGGCACAGTGGCATGCAGGCTAGGTGGGAGATGCACTCTGGGGTCAGATTTATACAGCTGCTGGTCTTGCTTCTTTGGTTCCTGTGGGTAAATAGAAGGTGCAAAATTTTGTCTCAGTTATTATTTGAGTAGAATTTAAATGCAAAAAGGTAATGATAAGCTTTTTACAAATGTTTTAATTACATGTGAAAACTTTTTTGCCTTCTTCAAATTTGAAGATTTCCATTATTGGTTCATAGAACAGTTCATCAGCTTTAGTGAGAAGAAAATCTAAGTGATGACTGGTTGATTTGAACAGTTGGTGAATTAAATATGATTGTAGCAATCTTCAATTTTTTGTGGTACATGAAGGATCCACTTTTTTAACCTATTAACCTCTTTAACCTTTTTAACTCTTGATTGAAGATCTTAGAAATTATCTATATTTATAATTAAAACTTCTTTTATTTTTCAGCTTCCTCAGAAAATGTGAGGGGTAACATCATTAAAATTTGCTGTGAAGCAGAGACAGACCTCTCGGTGCCCAACACTGCCCTGAAGTGCTACACCAAAATGTCAGATGAGAAAACTAGAAGATCAACAGCCGACATCACCGATGAGGGAAATCCAGGTTAACCTCTTCACGCGTTTGTCCTTTGCTTTGAAAGAGTTTTGCCCAAACAGCTTGATGTGAACAGTTTTACATGGAGGGGGGGTGGATGTACTGTACATTCATACCTTGGACCCACACGTGCTGTAGCCATCCAAACTTGGAGACTTTTCCGTAGCCTGTGTAAGTGCTAGGAAATATATATCCATAGGTATAGGTTTCTGTGGCTATATAGCTATAGATATAGGGACGCTGAGGAAAGGTGGTATGTGATGGGCGTGCAACAAGTTTCCAAGAATTCCAATTACCAGTAAATGACAAGTGAGACTTTACCTCCAGACTAAGAGGACATTTGTCACACACAGTTATTTTTATATCCAAATTTCTTTCACTGTAGAAATCCCTGTCATCTTAGGTTATGGACAAACAGGGCGTCTTTGCTTGAGACAAGTAAACACCGTTTATCCTTTTCTGGGGAAAGTCCTTGGTTAGCGGTATGGCTCTTAGCTTTTTGCTGTGTTGTTTGGGTGTTTTTTTTTTTTGTTTTGGGCTTTTTTTTTGGTAATTTTTGAATGTGTGCTGGATGATTCTATTATTTCTCTTCCAAATTAGACAAGTATTAAAATAACCTTTCTACATATTTATATGTTTGAATTCCTGTGCATTGAGGTCTTTAAAAAATGGTCAAAGTGGATTTCCTTAGTGGCCTTTGAACCTATCATTAAGGATGTATTACCTAGCTGAATGTCTTCCAGCTTTTATTCTTCCAGCTTTTATTTTCTACTTATTGCATGTCTTGTTTTAGCAGAAAAACTGGCTAAAAATAGTAAGATCACTAAAAGACTTCACAGAACTATTGACCTTCTTCCATTTTTTAGGATACAAGGTCTCGCACCTCTTGTTTTTGGTTATTTCAGGTGAGAGAGATATTCAAAGGTATCTGTTGTGGTGGGAAGTCAAGGATTAGCTTCAAACATTGGTAGAGTAATTTTTTGGTTACATGTATGTTCATTAAGATATCCTAAGCCAGAGGCTATTTGTTCTTTCGTTCATCAGTGCCTTCTCTCATCAGCTTTTGTGGGGTACATTGCAGAAGCACCGGGCCCAATTCTTTCTGGCTGGTGCTTATGAGGCAGGCTCATTTCTTGGCACAGGTCTTTGATTCACTTGGACTCTTTATTTTCTTCTACTCTGCAGGTAATCCTCAATTTTCAATCAGCGAAAAGAGCAGCATTGGCATCATCACCCCAGTACTGATTCTTGCAGTTTGTGCAGTAGCACTGGCAGTGTATTGTGTTCGACAGAAAGGAAATGGTCAAGGTACAGTCTGACAAAATGTTATGTTTCCTATGGGTAACATGCCTTACAGGCTGCACTGATAGTGGAAAAAGTATACAGGGCTATCTTCCTGGATTTCATTTCCATAACATTGTTTATGAGGTTGCTAAATGATATTCACCATGAAGGGGAGGCTGGGCTAACAGCTGGTATGAACTCCACCTCTGCATTTGGCGCCATGGCATAGTCCCCAGTCAGCTGGTTTTATTATGAAAAATAAGCAGAGAATAAATTTCCTCACTGCTACAGTAATACAGCCAAGCGATTGCGCTGGTCCGCCTTCCCTCAATGGGATCCAGTTCCTTGGAGTAGTCTCAGACTGCAGCATTGCTGTGCAGCTTCCCCTGCAGAGAGATATCCCAGCCCAGGAGACTGCTGAACATCCAGATGTGGGCTGACAGCTCCTTTAGGTGAATGGGTCCCACTCACAACTCTGCCCACTAAAGAGCCAATTTTAATTTGGGAAAGAATATTTTCCTAAATACGTCCAAGGGGGGAGTTTGTTTTCCAAACTAATACGCAAAGGAAGGGCTGGGATAGGCTCTATGGAGTAAATAGGGAGTCATGTGAATAAAATCTTCTGGAAATATCTGCCTTCCTCGGTATCGCTCTCTGCTCTTCTCTCCTCCTTCACAACACAGAGACTGCGGTATTCTTAAAGTGAGATAATATTAAATCACCTCTTACTTCAGAAATAGTTGTGCTACAACAGATTATAGAACTTGAGATGCAACTGTGCTGTCACATGGCAAAGTACCACACCTGCCATAGGTGGTGGGGATTTGGGGACAGAAGGCAAGGCCTGTGGGTCTGTTTGAGATGGATACCAGTGAGTTGCTCAGGAATTTCAGATAATTATAAATTGGGAAAAAACAACTGCAAGTCTGTTAGTTTTAATTCTTCTAAGTAAATCCTTGCTAATGCTGGTACTTTTTTGCTATTGTTTTCCTAGGACCTGTCATAGTGCTCCATCAGACTTTTAATGGTAAGATTTGACTTTTGGGGGTTTAGTTATGGTAAATGATGAAATCACATTACTACAATGGCAGGAGGGCATTCGGTGAAGGACTAAATGTGTTTACTAGGACCATGTTCAGTGGATGCCCATTTCCTCCCTGCATCAAGTCTGAGTCAATAGATTTTAGCCCCTACATGACTTTGCAGTGGGTCCAGTGCTCACACGTTGATCTTTTACACGCTTCTACAGACACCCCTTGACCGTGACATACAGCTTCCCCCCTAGATCCTGTAGCCAACGTGGCTCCAGGGTTTATGGGACCTTGTGTAAAGCCAGAAGCTGAGACATCTCCTCTCGGTTACTGAACTAGTCCATCCTTTAGAAACAAATGTTGGTTGTTTCTTTCTAAGAGTCTCAAAATTGAATTTCAAAGTCTGAACTTGTTTAAGGTTAACTTGGTGGTTAGAGGCTAGCTAAAGCCTGAGATTTTTATCTTGTGCTTCCTTTCTAGTGAATGGAGAGAGATAGCTTTCTTGAGAAGATGATTCATCTCACCTTAAAATGGTTTTAAGATGAAACACATGAATTACCTTGTGAAGGTGCCTATTTCTCTCTGATAACTCTAAAGGAAGCCAGTGGGAACAAGCTGAGATGTTCGAACATTTATAGTTAGATAAAATGCAAGGCTATCTGTGAAAAATATGAGTTGCACAAGTGCTTGCAAAACCCGGTAAAGATAACACAATGCTAGTTTCACTGCAGTTGTTTTATTAAGACATGTTAATAGATATATTGGCGTGATAGGTAAAAAATGTCCGGCTAGCGGCTCTCCTGAGGTCCTGCCCTGTCGTGTAAGGCTCGGTGATGTTTCAGGCCTGTCCTAGGGCCCCCCTAAGGCAAAGGCTGATGGGCCACAGCAACCAGGGCAGGGCTTCAGCAGAGACGCCATGAACTCGCTGGGCAATGAAGCTGCAATCCTTTCACCTTTCAGAGCAAGAGGTGGTCCAGTAGCAGATCGGACAGGGTAGCTGCCCTGAGGACTTCACACTCCAGATTTCCAAGCCTAAATACAGGCAATTGGATTATAATTCTCACTGAAATCAACCTGTGCCTTTGGTGTCCTCACAGATATTTTTCCTTCAATTCTTCAGCTGTTAGAAAAACCAAATGGGCTCCTGACACGCAAAAGCTCGCACCTATTTGAAAAACATCTACAAATGAGAAAACCAGGCCTCTATGTCAGCAGCATACTCCTCGCTAATGACGTACAGCGTTCAGCTGAAGAAACAGATGATCATTTTATACGAGACCTCATGGTAGTTTTCACAAATGTACTTTCACCAAATCCATGCGTTCACTGAGGACTGTGATTGCCACAGTCGCCCAGCTCCAGGCCTTCGTGAGCAACATGAGACGCTCCCTCGATCCCCCATCGTCTCCTGGTGCTTCGCTGAGGATGGCAGTCATTGCAAGATGTGTGGCTGGCTCAGCAGAACAGGTTTAAGCCAGCTGAATTCTCAAATGGTTTTCATGATTGAAACTATCTGAGATTCTTCTATGCTCAGGAAGGATGTGTTGAACCCTGAGGCACATCCTCTCTGCATGTCTTCCATTTTGTAACACGATAGCATGCCCATAGGTCTTCGGTTTTTTTTAACTCCCAGGTGGTCTCTAGATCCAAAAAAGCATTTTGTATAGGTGACTGGTTTGTTGAATTAGAGGGGTTTGGCCTTTTGAACAGACATTTGATTTTGCAACCACCTGCAGGTTGAGGACATCTCCTCTGTGTGCTTGTTCCTGTGCAAGGGTGGACACGAGGGCTATATCCAGCTCCCTCAGAAACGGCATTGGGTTGTGGAGGCCATAGCCCCCTCCCAGGCTGAACAGAAGTATGATATTAATCTCCCTGACAAATTAGGTCATAATACTGGCAATTTTAGTGTAGGACACTTTCAACAGTAACTCCAGTGGATAGGAAAGCATATTGACATACCCGCTCTGTTTCCTTATCAGAAAAGACTACAGTATTTCTGCATCTGAAGACAGGTTTGGGTATGCTGCCTGCAGACAGTACGTGATGAAAACTGCACTTCAGGGATCCCCATTTGGTAGTTCACAGGCGGTGTGTCATCTTCCAATGATTTATCATTCGAGCTTGATTTGAATAAATCCTCAAAAGTTTGCATTAGACCTAATCTAATATCAGGCTTTTGAGCAAAAATCATCAGCAGCACAATTGGAAAAGCAGATCCATGAAACAGTATGAATACTTGCTGAATCATTTTTACATCGTTTAATTACTCATAAATCTATAGCTGAAACTTCCAGCAGGAAATCTCAAAGGATGTAGGATGTTGTGTGACTCTTGAAATTTGGTACAATCAAATCTAAAGGGAGAAGTTCATAATGAAAGACAGCCAAAAATATGTTATTAATTAATTTTAGAAATACAGAAAAGCTCCTGTGCTTAAATTTGGCTCTTGTTTGGCACAGGAGACTGGTACTGTTATGGGTTGGTTTTTTTCTGTCCCCAGTGTGGGCTTTACACTTATGCTGATCTAAGATACCACGTTAACTCAGCTCATGGCTTATTTGTTGGATTTTGTCTTTTAAATTTTAATGTGGTGGAATGCAGTCAAAACTTCATGAAGAGATGGCAATCCCCAGCTACTCAAAGGTTTTTAGGTACTTACTGAGTATGTTGTTTTGACTGATCCATTTGTGAACTCTGTTATATCATGATGAATGTTATTCCATAAGCTAAAGCTAAGGTTACCTGTAAAGAGTCCAGACTGTGCAAGGATTTAGACATAGAAGGAAAAAGACTTCTCCTCTTTATACAGCACCTTAGCACAATTGCAGTTCCTGTTTTTTCCCAGAACAGGACTGCTGAAAGCTTTCCACAGAGTAGAGCTCTGTCTAAAAGGAGTGAGGAAGAGGTTTGTTTGGGATAAAAGCCATCTTTTTTTGGAGGAAATGATGTATCTGCTGCTATAGCCTGGGAAAGGAGCACTCAAATCAGGTATGGGCCTTTCACTTTCTGACCCCACTGCAGCGCTCACAGGTATTGCTTTTGGTTCTGTTTCCCTCTGCTGTAAGTCGTTGCTGTGGGTGCCTTTGAGGAGGTGCCAAGTGTTCCAGCTTATCCAGTCAAGCTGTATTCTGTGCTTCTGGAGATTCCCAGTGATGTACACATTATTTTCCTGTACCTAGAAAAACACTGTCTTAAAATTGAAGGCCATGGCATTTCTTTTGTATGGTCTTTTAATGAGAAAACCAAATGTGTCTCTGTAAATCTGTGGAAAAATCTGGGGGTGTGTGTGTATATATGGTGTTCAAATTGATGGCTGATACTGGGTGGTTTTGGTATAAACTCAGATTTTGAGTTCTTTGGGAAAGGGACAAAGTGATATTCAAGAACTCACATTGTATTAACTTGAGGGATTCAGGTTTAATGATGTGCAGATTTAATTTCTACTCTTCAACACCAGTTGGGGCCAGAGAGCTGGCCATGTTTTGAGAAGAAAGGTTATATGGACACCGCTGCCCAGTGACAGTTGCTTAGCTAAATCAGTCACAAGACGCAAGTCACAGACCGATCTTTATGGCTCACTCAAGCACACTTCCCTTTACATCTTTTAATCCTACTGATGATTATGCAGAGTGTGATATTCAGAGGCATCACTACTAACTGTTTCACTTTGCCCCTCCTGAGTTGTGTTGTGTTGGTAGACACCAATCATCCCACGTCTCAGAAAAACTGTTATAAATAGCTTTAAAGATCTACAGTGTTTGTTCTAAGCAACTGCATTGTGTTATTTTGCAATATACAAATATAGGCAAATACTTGTTTATGAAAGAAAAAAATGACTAAAGATACTAAGCAGTCTGATTCACCAAATGCATTTTAATGATTTTTTTTTTTTTTTTTGGTTTGTGTTATTATACTCATCACAATAAAACATCAGCTTAAAAACTGGCTATTCGTTGGTAACCCTGTGTTGATCATATTGTTATTTGGTATGTCAATCTTCTTTACAAAGCATCACCACCACATGATTCCCAAACTCATAATCCAGTATTATTGTCATGATTCACTTCTTAAATATTGTAAAAGCAAAGACGAGGAGTAAGAGATGTCTCCTGGCATCTGCTTTTGTATCCAGTAGTGAGCCTTTGTAGGGCTAATGGAAAGCTCGTTTTGCAACCTGCCTGAACTCTGTTTTCTTTACAATAATTGGTGACATTTCTAAGCTTTCAAGCATTCAAGAAACTCTTTAGGAACACCCCCTTTTCCTACGTATTCACACAGAGAACAGTGCCTGCAAGAAGAGTTTTTCATCATATCAGGGAGGGAGCAGGAGCTACATGTGAACTGTAGCTGAGATTCTCTTTTGCTGGTGGTTAGCAGCTCTGCTGTACTGCAGGCGCTACAGAATGTGTTATTAGATGTGAAGCCAGGAGGCACTTGGCAGGTACACGCCATGCTGTTGCTTGGAAATTATGCACATTGTCATTGCCAAGATGCAGATCAAGCCTGTAGTTTTGTGAGCAGCGTTTGTATAATAATTAAAGGTTTACCTGAAGTAATGGAGCATCTCTCATTTACTTGCTCCTTACAAAGCCAAGACTTTTGCATTTGCAGCCACCAACCAGGCAGCCTGCTAAGCCAGTGGGAACACTGACAGATTGAATTGATTGTACCAACTGCCTACATTTCCAGTAAGGCCTCAACAGGGAGATAATTGCCTGGCTTTGGCACTGTGAAGAGCAATTTTGAGCCTAGCTTTTCTCAGTTGGCTGTAAAGGGAAGGTAGGTGCTCACCATAGAGACTTTCTAATCCTGCCCTCAGGTTTGGGGGTTGTTCAGTAGTAGGAAACCGTGGGTGTTTTAAGTGTGAAGTCAAAATCAAGGTGCACCTCTCAAGAGAAATCTCTCTTCCCCCTCTCTGTCACATTTGTTGTGATACTAAGGCAAAAGAAGTACGTTGCTGACTCTTTTTAGTAGATAGCTGATGTAGCTGGAAGAAAACAGGCCAACTTGTGGCATACAACCCTTCAGATCTTTAACTCATCAGTCAGATAACAGAAAACAACTAAAAAGACCTTTGAAAAATGCTGTGGATATCACGTCTCCCAACTGCATCTCTATTTCTTCTGCTTCTCCCGTGCTTCCCTGGCGAGAACGGTACGTACAACATAGACGCTCTTAGATTTCACAAGTTTCAAGATTTTCTTTCCTTCCCCCCCCTCCCCAGTCTATTGTCTCAAACAGGTTCCTGGCAAATTCACCATTAGCAAAACCAGGTGGAACTTTAAAAAATATTCTCTGAAATTATAGAATAAGTTTTTAGAAAAAAATGAAAAATTACCGTGATCAGAACTTTTTTTTTCTACACAGCAGTCAGTCTGTAGAAAGAGTGGAAGTTGTTTTCCCAGTAATTCAACATGAACTGTATCAGTATTGCTAAGGTTGACAGGAGGAGGCCACTACTGGATGAAAATGAATATTGATATTTACGAGGGACATAATTATTGAAGGTGTAATAAAAACTTACTAGAAATATCCATTGCTGAATATTGTAGCTATTGAGAGTACAAGCTGGAGGCACACTTGGGGAAAACAGTGTGAATCTCTGAGGAGAACTGGCTGAAGAAAAAGATGTCTCCAAAGAGTCAGCCCTTTTTTCCCCCATGACCATTGACAATAACTGGAAAGGACAGTGACTTGAGAAAAAAATATTATCCATAAATCAGCATGTCTGAAAGGAAGATGCAGTGAAACTGGTGAGAATATTTATTTTGAGTGTCTGCCATTTTTTAGTTTGTTGTTGTTGAGGAGTCAATACCGATTTCTGCAAATATAGTTTAACTCTTGAAGTTCTACCCTGATCTTTTGGAGAAAACAATTGATGGGCTGAGGCTGCTTGTCATTAGCTGTGTGGGTTCTTAGATCATGTAAGTATGGGTCAGCTTAGAAGTACTGATTTTAGGCTGATGGAGATGAACTTCCTGGGCTTTCCTTCCCCGCTTGTAAGGCTGAGTGCTCTGTGCTTCTCCAGCCTTCTCCATCACCCCATTTCTCTGCTGCTTTGGAAGGTAATCGCTGACAGCTCTTGGGTTGCCTTAATACCTTCTCTAAGCGTTGTAGGAGGAATGTCCTTGTGTCTGGTCAGGTTGGGTTGACCTACGGTATCTAAATGCCCATGATCTGGTCTTTCTGTGTTTGACTTCTGTGTTTGTTCCCTTATTAAAATAAATTGTCTTAAGTATGTAGGGATCCTTAATTTGCTTGTCAAGACTGAATAATTCTACCCTTTCTATACTATGTTTGCCCTAGATATGCAATGCTCTTAATTTTTCTTCCCTTGCTTTTAATGTAATTTCTTTTAGGTGTTTCACATTTAATTCCTCTGTTTCTCGCTATTCATTGCCTAAGTACTTACTGTTCAGTTTCTTTTGATATTGAGGTCATTAGAGAACTCAGAGGGTCTTATTATATATTTTTATACCTTTGTTTCTTAGTATAGGCTGGAATTGTACCTTCTGCAGTTCTCTTCCTATTAGGCTACATTATCCAGTTTCCTGATGTTGCTAAAGCCTCCTAGCTAAAAAAAAAAAAAAAAAAGTGTAATTTTCTTCCATTCTCTGCCATTGTTTGATACCTTTGAATTCCAGATTTAGATCCTCAACCAGCTCCAATTATTGGGCTGAGTTCAGTGAAGCTTGTATTTTGAGAACTAACAGGATCATACTGAGAATCTACAGGGCAGGCTAAATTTTTTGCATGAGTGACAGAAGCCACTTTTTTGCCAAGGCCTTTTAAACTTTGGGGAGACATTGAGTTGCACAGGTCAATGGGCACGAAAGGCACTATAGGTTTTAGGGCAGCCAAGAGATGATATATCCAGGATAGCAAGACTAAGGTCCAGTCTTACAGAGTGGTTCTGTTGATGGAGTAGTTGTTTTTGAAAACTACTTTGATATTAATAGATCAAGAAGAATTCTGATATTATAATTTCAATTGTATTTCTTATTTTTAGGTGGAGAAAATGAACAGTCAACAGACATTATCAGTGTTTGGGAAGGAGACTCCATCAGTATAACTTGCTCGATGAAAGATTCAGAAAATGAAGTGGGAACGTACTTGAGAACTAGTATACACCCGGTCAATGTGATATATGTTTCCAAGCAGAATACTTCATTTATCCTTCCTGCTTTGGCTAATCGCACCAAATATTCAAAGGAAGGAAGGAATCTCAGGATAACTCTGCACAATGTACAGGAATCTGATTCCAATATCTACCTATGCACTAAGTTTATTAAAAACAAAGGCTATCACAAAAAGCTGAATGGGAAGGCAACCATAGTAGTGGTGAAAGGTATTGAAATTCCATCTTTTATGTCATGAATTAATAATTACAGATATATATTTTAAATCAAAGATTGGAAGAAAGCATAATGGGAGGGAGAGTCTGACAGAACTTCACCTATGTCTGCTTAGGTAATGTACTGATTTGAAGAAAAGTGTGGGTCTGTTCCCTGAAAAGATGAAGAAAACACATTAGAAAGAACAGTACCAAAAAAACCCCCTAGAGCATCAATTCATGACTAATTTAATCCTAGCTACAGGTTTTCACATGAGTCATAGGTTGCTGCAGCAGTTTGGAAACAGTGAGGACCGTAGCTCTTTCCAAAACAATCAGTCAAATCTTTATGAATAACTAGCAAAGGAATGAGCCTTTTTTTTGGTAGTGGTTTTTGCAAATCTCTTTTGTTTTTACTATTCCATCTTAAATGACAAATTGATAATAATTGGGAAGCTAGGCAGGGTTTGCAAGTCGGGCATCAGTGGATAAAGGGATGGGGGTTTTTCTCTTCTTAACAAACAGTTGATGAATGGGCACAAGTGCTCCTTTTGGCAGTCATTTCTGGTTAGGGGAAGAATTTTTCTGTCTTTTTTTTTTCCCCCCCCCCCCCGAAGAGGGTTGAGTCCACAATATTCTTTGGCAGCTTATTCTGCTACATACCTACCCTTCTGATGGGACCATCTAACCTGAAACATCTTTACCAAAAAGTACAGGGTTTTCTTCCTTTCCTGTCCCCAAGGCATGCAAAACCTAACTGATTGCTGGGTCAGTAATAGTAATTTATACCTATGAAGACTTATCATGTCCTTCCTTAGGCTTCTCTTTTCAAACATCTTGACTGTGTTTTCTCAAATGAATTCTATCTTGTTGATTATGTACTGTTTCTCCAAATTATTTTATTAAATTATCTTATATCTCTTTTTAATTCTGATCCTCTTCTCTAAAATGCTTGCAACCTTCCCAGAATTATCGTTTGTACAAATGTGATAAATTCTGTCTTCATTCCCTCATCCACGTTAATGATAATGTCAAAAGGAACAGGGCCTGTGCTCAGAGAAACCCAGTGAAATGTCTTCCCAGCTGGACAGCAAGCTGGACATAACTACTTTTTGAAGACCATTTTCAACATTGATGGCACCCACACTGTATGATTTCATCCAGACCAATAGTCTCCAGATCTTTCTATGGCTTAATCTCACTTGAGAAAGCAGGCAATGATCCATGTCTGAAGGGCAAGCTGATGAAGAGTTCAGTATATGTATTTTTTAGGTAGGTGGAGACCCTTTACAGCTAGGTAAACCTGTTTGGTCAGTCCTACTTTCAGATCCTGGGGCAAGAAAACATGCCAAGGTGTGCTGACATATATCTTTCTTCTCAAGGCACGCATAAAGGTAGCCTTTAAAAAAAAATCATTTTATCTAAATTTTCTGTGGTCTGTGCTTTCTGTCTTTGACCTCTGTATTTGCTCCCTAATGAAAATGCACTATGTTAAGTATGTGGTAGCCATTAATCTCTCTTGTTTTTAGCAAAAACCAGTGGAGTTGTTGAGCAGTCACCACTCTATGTCAATCCTCAGCAAGGCCAGTCTACCAACATTTCCTGTGCATTGAAAAGCTCACATGAAGATGAAGGGTTCTTCTTGCTCAAGACTCACGTGCAACCTGAAAGGGTGTTGTATGTTTCAAGTCAGAATGCTTCAACTATTTTTCCTGCTTTTGCTAATCGCTTGGAGTATTCAAAGCAAGAGAAGAAAATAGTTATAACTTTACACAACCTACGGGAAAACGACAGCGATATATATGTGTGTGCTGGGGTGGCGAAAAATTCCTCTTTCCTCTCAGTGAACAGAAGTGGCACCATGATGCTGATTAAAGGTACTATCCTTTTGCTTGTTTAATCATAAATAACTATAGGCATGTTGTAATACAAAAGGTGAACTGAAAGCTTGCAGAACTTCAGTCAGGACAGGTAGAGCACTAATCTATGGCCAGACTTCTTCCAGTATCTGGGAAAGTTTGGAGAGAGCGCTCAGGCTCCTCTGCGCCCTGTTGTACTAGGACACAGAAAGATGCACTAAGTTTCTACCTGCCTTGTACAATCAGAGGGGAATTATAAAAGAGAAAACGTGTTATAATCCTGCATCTTAAAAAAAAAAAAAAAAGGTCCAAATCAGACAACAAACACTTCAGTGTGTCTGTGAATAATCTGTCAGTTTTAGGAAATGGATCAGTATTTTTAGCATCAGTTCTTTGACCTTAATGTGACACAAATGTCTTTTAGAAACCATTCCCTATAGCGAGTCTGTGTGTTTAAAAATAGGTTATAACAGGGAGTACAGATCAAGTCCTCAGGCATTTACTTAAAGTATCACAGATAATAGCAGACATGATCTCACCACCCTTATTATACACTGAGCGCACTGTAAGCATATGTTCCGAAGACAGGATTTTTTGGTTTCTTTTTTTCTGCAGGATGGTGTTGTAACCATTTGCTAAGATGCAGGCAAAACCAGCAATACAGTGCTTGATTTTGATCTTACTGATGCAACTTAACCTTGTATATTGGGCTTTGATGAGATCTTTGGGCAATTAAAATAAGGTTTACATAGGCCCTAAGAGTTGCAACGGATCTATCTGCAGCCTACAAAAAAGACTGTGGTCTCATTCTATGCCGCTACCATAACTGGTGCAACAACTCAGTAACGTGACTTGGGGAAAATGACAGCTGCAAATCAATGCAGCGGGGTGATTACCAGATATTATGTTATTCAGATTTGGATTAATTGAGGTTTTAGAGAACTGTAGCCCTTTCCACTAGCACTATTCCGCTCAACGTATATACGCCAGATCACAGTAGCCTCCTACTTCTGTCTGTACTGCTTGCAGCCTGACAAACCTAGCTGTCACATAATTCCTACATACTCCTGGCTGAGCCCTCAGTACTGCTGTAATACTGCAGTAAAACATTTTCTGCTTCTGTTATGAGCGTGTGATCCTACTTCTGACCAGTGGTATGGAAGCTATCGCCTTTGTAGAGTGCTCCTCACTGACCCTTCACGTGCCACCTGCAGTCATCGCCAGCCTCTAGAAGAGCACAGGGAATGCCAGTGAGAATGGGATGACAAATGTGGCTGTGACAAATGTGGCCAATTTCTTGCTGACCAGTAAATAATTTTTTTCGTAATAAAAATAGAGTTCTACCTCTTCATATTAACAATAATAATATAATTTTACATGCAGAAGTGGAGCAGTCAGACTGCAGTAATAGTTCCTGGGGCATCTATACTCTTATCATCATGGTAGCGCTACTGTTTTCTGCGCTGATGTGCTGCACCGTGTACCATGTCAATGTAAGTATGCTGTTACCATGTGTGCTGGTTTTGGCTGGGGTA